CTCCAATGTCTTTTTTTTTAAATATTCATTTTATTTACTTGAAAGGCAGAATTGCAAAGAGAGAGAGAGAAGAAGAGACAGAAAAAAAGAGAGATCTCCCATCCACTGGTTTACTTTCCAAAAGGCTGAAGCCAGGAACCTAGAACTCCATCTGGGTCTCCCATGTGGTTGCAGGGACCCAAGCACTTAGGCCATCTTCCACTGCTTTTCTAGGCACATTAGCAGGGAGCTGGATTGGAAGTGGTGCAGCCAGGACTCGAACCTGCTCAAATAGGATGCTGTTTTTGCAGACAGCAGCTTAATCCACTGTGCTACAATGCTTGCCCTCTATGTCTTTTTTTAAATTCATTTTTCTAGTTATTAATCCTTATTACATTTTACAAAAGTACTTATGATAACTGCTAATGGAATGGAAATAAAAACAGTTTTTATCATGGTTAATTTGAGAAGTTCAGATCTGGGAAGTATTCCTGGGGTTTAAAGATATTGGACTTGGCAATGGTTTTTTGGATATGACACTGTAAACACCAGCACAGAAGCAAAGATAGACACATGAGATTACTTCAAAATTTAAAACCTTGGTAACATAGAATACAATCAACAGAGTGAAAAGGCAACCTATGGAATGGGAGGTAATATTTGAAAATCATATATCTGACAATGGGTTAATATTTAGAGTATAAAGAACTCCTATAATTCAATAACAACAAAAAAATCAAGTAATCTAATTTTAAAAATAGGCAAAGGATTTGAAGACGTGTTTCCAAAGATGATACACAAATGACCAGCAATCATATGAAGAGATGTTTGGCATCATTAATCATCAGGGAAATGCAAATCAAAACCACAGTGAGATACCATGTCAAGCTCTCAGCATGGGTACTACCAAAAACACAGAAAATGACAAGAATTGGTGAGGATATGGAGAAATTGGAACCCTTGGGCACCATTGGCGAGGTAGTAAAATGGTGCAACTGCTATGAAAAACAATATGGGGATTTCTCAGAAAATTATAAATAGAACTACACTATGATCCAACAATCTTAGTTTTGGGTTTACAGCCTAAGGAATTGAAAAGAGAATGTCGAGCAGAAAAATGCAGCCTTTGACTGAAGAGGAGACCCAGGTCATGTTTGAGAAGATGGCCAAATACATCAGGGAGAACCTGCAGTTGCTAATTGACCAGCCCGTCGGCACCTACTGTTTCAGGCTACGCAATGACCGTGTGCACTACGTGAGTGAAAAGATCCTGTAAATGGCTGCCAATATCTCCAGGGACAAGCTGGTGTCACTGCAGATCTGCTTTGGGAAACTCACCAAGACCTACAAATTCCAGTTGCACATCACACATGGTGCTGGATTACCTGGCGCCTTATACCAAATATAAAATGTGGATAAGGCCTGGCACAGAGCAGTCTTTCCTGTATGGGAACCATGTTTTGAAACCTGGTCTACGTCGAATCACTGAAAATATTTCTCAGTACCAGGGAGTGGTGATGAACTCAATGGTAGACATCCCTTTGGGTTTTGGGGTGGCAGCAAAGTCTACACAAGACTGCAGGAAGTAGACCTCATGGCCATTATAGTATTTCATCAAGCAGACATGGGGGAATATGTGTGGCATGAAGACACATTGACTTAAAAATTCATTGCAAGGACAGACAGCTCTGTGGAAGGGCCTAGCTTTGTTTCCTTTGCGTGTGGTCTACTGTTGTATTGAATTTTGTCAATGCTGTGACTTCTTCAGGGACTTCTTAGTTTAATATGGCATCACTGACAAATGCAAGCTGGATTCTTAACATACACAGTGGCTCAGAAATGAGGTTTCAGATTTTTGTATTTATGACTATGTAGAGTACCCCATTACATGTTTGAATTGGAGGGATCCTTGTTGTGAGTTACAGGTTCTACATTGTTGGAACTGAGGACAAGAATAGCTTATTATTGTTGTCTGTGATAACACTTGGTCTTCTGCACTCATAAGAACATAGTGGGTTTTCTCTGTTATTAATATCATGAAAGATATCACCATATCAGAGTAGTAGGCCACATATGGAATTTTTCAAGTGGAATTTGACTAAGATAATAAGAGCAGTTTATTCAGCTATTTTTCTATACAGTAAGTTCTGTGTAGTGTAAAAGAAAAACTTGGATTCAAATCAGTTCTGCCACCTACCAGTTATATGGCCTTGGAAGAGTCATTCAACTTTAACATGCTTCATTTTCTTGTTTAAAAAAGAAAAACTAAGACAGCTTTAGCCATACACTTAAGAATCATTTTCAAAGTTAGAAATCATGGTTTTAAAGCTTCTAGCCACTGTCTGGAAAATGATAAGTGTTGAATAAATGTTGAGTTGTTTTTATATTGACATATATTTCTTTTAGTAAGTATACGGGTCTTACAATTTGAATATGAGTTGTTTTTCCTGTTTTTTTTTTTTTTTACTCATGAATGATCCAAGGCTTTTTTTCATCACTTTGATTCATAAAATGTAATTTCTCTTACAAACCTTTTTGTCTACTTGGCTGGACTGGACTGGACCAAAAGCACTAGAGACTCTGAGATAATAATTCAGCTTCTTCGCCCTTCACATCTTTCTTAAAATTATTTTTGTGGAAATATATTTTAAAAATCAGTGACACTGGGGCTGGTGCTGTGGTATAGTGGGTAAAGCTGCTGCATGCAGTGCCAACATCCCATATGGGCACCAATTTGAATCCCGGCTAGTCCACTTTTGATCCAGCTCTCTGCTGTGGCCAGGGAAAGCAGTGGAAGATGCCCAAGTCCTTGGGCTCCTGAACCTGCGGGGAAGCCCAGAAGAAGCTCCTGGCTCTTGGCTTCAGATTGGCACAGCTCTGGCTGTTGCGGCCATTTGAGGAATGAACCAGAGGATGAAGACTCCTCTCCCTACCCTGCCCTGTGCCTCTACCTCTATAACTCTGCCTTTCAAATGAATAAATAAATAAATCTTTAAAAAAAAAGCTATTTCTAAAAAAAGGAGAGTAACATTTTACAGATTTTTAAAATGTGTATTATAATACAATTTGAAAATGAATACACTCAATTCCAAGAAGATACATCTGAAAATAAAACTTTTGATCACAAAAAAAAAAAAGAAAGAAAAGAGAATGTCAAAGAGATAATAGCAAATCCATGTTCATAGCAGCACTATTTACCATAGCCAAGAGTTGAAGCAACCCAAATGTCCACCCATGGATAACTGGATAAAGGAACTTTGGTATATCTATACAGTGGAATATTATTCAGTTTTTAAACAAAAGAAGGAAACTCTGTCACGTGCTACCACATAGATGAATGTTGAGGACATTATGCTAAGTAAAGTAAGCCAGTCACAAAAGAGAAAAATACTGAATGATTCCACTTGGATGAGATATCTAAGGTCATCACATTTATAGAAATAGATGGTAGAATGCTGCTTATTGGAAGACGGAGGAGGAGAAAAGGGGTGTTGTTCTTTCTGAAAAGTCTTTTCTCTTGGGTTAGTTTAAGATTTTAGATATAAATGAATTGATACTTCTTGATATTTGGTTAGTGGTATCTCTGAAGTATGACACATATTTCTAAAAATAATCCAACTTCTATTTAAATCATATTTGTCTGAAATAAAACATAAATTTGTTATAACTCTTTAAGACCAAGAAAACATTTTTTGTTGTAATGAACTTCTTGTACACAAGCACTATCTTATATTTTCTCTCAACCCAAAATAACAGGAGCCGGCTCTGTGGCATAGTGGGTAAAGCCACCACCTGCTGTGCTGGCATCCCATATGGGTGCTGGTTCGAGTCCCAGCTACTCCACTTCTGATCCAGCTCTCTGCTATGGCCTGGAAAAAGCAGTAGAAGATGGCCTAAGTCCTTGGGACCCTGCTCCTTCATGGGAGACTCTGGCTGTTGAGGCCATCTATGCAGTGGAGCAGTGGATGGAAGACCTCTCTCTCTGCCTCTGCCTCTCTGTAACTCTGCCTTTCAAATATATAAATAAATCTTTTTTTAAATTTATTTTTGAAGTTTAGTTACTTTCAAATAGCTTCTTCAAAAAAGATTTCTTTACTTATTTATTTGAAAGGCACAGTGACAGAGAGTTAGGGAAAGACAAAGCGCGAGAGAGATCTTGTCCACTGACTCACTTCCCAAATGCCTACAATCAGCAGCCAGGAGCTCAATCCAAATCTCCTACGTGGGTGGCAGGAACACAATCACATGAGCCATCTCCACTGCCTACCAGGGTACATGTTAGCAGGAACCTGGAATTGGGACAGGAGCTCAGACCCAGGCACTTTGATGTGGGACATGGGCATCTCAACCAGCATCATAATTGCTAGGCCAAAGGCCAGCACTGACACCGTATTTTTAAGAAAAGAGTTTAAAAAAATAGCAATTTAAATAACCATGACATGCAGTAGTCTATTGTAAAGAGTTCTGGCTTAAAAAAGGAAGCAACTTCTTTGAGATATAATTCATGTGCCATAAACATTTACTCAGCTACAGTATGTAATTCAATGGTTTTACTACATTCACAGAGCTGTGCAACCAATTGCCACAGTCTAAGTTTAGAACATTTTCCTTACTTCAAAAAGAAACCCTTTATCCTTTAGCAGTCATTACTTATTCCACACTGCCCTGGACTTAGGGAACCACTAATTTACATTCTATCTCTACAGATTTGCCTAATTTAGAATTTTCATATAAGTGATACCATATAAAATGTAACTTGCCAAATGTCACAAAACCTGGGAGTGATATAGATTAAATTTAATGCCACTCCTCTTGGTTCTCACAGCAGTCTCTACACTTAGAGGTTTTCTATGTCATTATAATTACATCATCTCCTATCTGCCTCCAATTATTCAATCATTCATTCACTCACCAAACTATTCATTCCCCAACTATTTATTTTTATAAAAAGATGTGCTTATTTATTTATTTATTTGGAAGGGAGAAAGAAAGGAAGATCTTCCACCCACTGGTTCACTCACCGATTGGCAACAACAACTTGGCTGGGCCAGGCCAAGGAGCCAGGAGCCAGAACCTTCATCCAAATCTTCCTCAGGGGTGTCAGGGACTTAAGCAGTTGAGCCATCTTCTGCTGCTTTCCTGGAGCATTATCAGGGAGCTGGATCAGAAGTGGCGGGGCTGGACCAGCACTGTGATATGTGATGAGGGCGTCCCAAGTGGTTGCTTAACTCTGAGTCACAGCATCTGTCCCCTGAAATATTTATTTATGGTTTACTTTACATCAGGCACTATGGCAGGTGTTAGGGGCATGGTGCCAACAAGGTACACAGTTGGGGGATAGGGAGGCCCTGGAGTTGTGATGCAATGAGCTTAGCTGCCGTCTGCCATGCCAGCATCCTGTATTGGAGTACTCGTTTGAGCTCCAGTTCTGATCCACCTCCCTGCTAATGTGACTGGAAAAGCATCGGAGAATGGCCAAACTTTTTGGGTCCCTGACACCCATGTGGAAGACCCAGAAAGAGCTCTAGGCTCCTGGCTTTGGCCTGGAGCAGCCCTAACTTTGGTGGTCATTTGGGGAAGTAAAACAGTGGATTGAAGATCTCTCTCTCTCTCTCTCTCCTTCAAGTAAATAAAAAATATTAAAAACAAAAGCAAAAACAAAGTATACATGGTCTCATACAGGATCTTATTGAACTTAGAGTTTAATGGGGTAGCCTTACGAACAATTTAATTAAATGAATACATGCTATGGCAGCAAATAGCAACTCAGTTGTTAAGGAAACCAGAAAATGATTTTGAAACTGATAAAGATAATTGTGGGTTAGTGAGATAAGTCAAACATTTTGTGATCTTTTGCTTATAGATAATTGGTAGCATACTATATTACTTATTTTTAAGTCCCCAGATTTAGCGGCTTAAGAAACAAACATTTAATATCTCACCATTTTTGTGGGCCATTGGGAAGTGGCTTAATTGTGTGGTTCTGTCTCAGGGTCTCATGAGATTACTATCAAGCTATCATCCAGGGCAGCCATCTTCTGAAGACTTGACAAAGCATCACTGGACCATATGCTTCCAAGATGGCTTTGGTCAGGAGACTTGATCACTACAGAAGTCTCTTCAGGGCTACTTAAGTGTCCTGGAGACCTGGTAGCTTCTCCAAGAACAAACCATCCAAGAGAAAACAAGGAAGAGGGCACAATGCCTTTTATGACCTATCTCAGAAGTCAGCATCATTACTTCTACTACATTCCATTCATTAGAAGTGAGTCACTAAGTCCACCCCACACTTGCGGGGAGGAGAATTCGGCTTCAACTTTTTTTGAAAGGTGGCATATCAAAGGGTTTGTCATCATATTTTAAAGCCATCCCATGCATCCAGGGAAATGACCAAAAAATTTCAGCATGGCCAGGTTTAGAGTGGAAGGAGGCTGATGACTGATGACGAGACAACTGGTGAGTGATGATGGAAAAATTAGTAGAAGTCATGTTACGTATTGTCCTCTTCATCTTATTGATTGAGCTTCTTATTTTAAGGGCAATGAAAAGCCATTGAAGAGTTTGGGTTTCTTTTTGGTAACAGCTTTATTGAGATTATAATTAATAAATCGTCCAATTCAACCATTTTAAGTGATAAATTCAATGGCTTTTAACATATTCACAGAGATATTCATCTAGGGGTAGACATTTGGTGCAGTGGTTCAGACACTGTTTGGGACTCCTGCATCCCATATCAATTGCCTGTGTTTGAGTCCTGGCTCTGCTTCCAATTCCAGCTCTCTGCTAATGTGCACCTTGGGAATCAGTAGGTGATGGCTTAAGTGATTGAATCTCTGTCACCTACATGGAAATGTAGATTGAGTGCTGGGCTCTAGCCTAAGCCTGTCCCAGTTTTGGCTATTAAGAGCATTTGAAGAATGAACCAAGGGATGAAAGATCTTTCTCCATCTCTCTGCTTCCAAATAAGAATAAATAAATAAATGGCACAGAAGATAATTTTTTAAAGATTTATTTATTTAGTTGAAAGTGTTACAGAGAGAGAGGATGAGATAGAGAGAAAGAGAGATCTTCCATCCACTGGTTCAATCTCCAAATGCGCCAACAACCAGGGCTGGGCCTGCACATTGGTGCAGGGACCCAAGCATTTGGGTCATCTTCCACTGCTTTCTCAGGCACATTAGCACATAGCTGGATAGCAAACAGAGCAGCTGGGATTCCAACCGGTGCCTATATAGGATGCTGATATCTCAGGCAGCTTTACCCACTACACCACGTTGAGGGCCCCAGGATAATTCTTAATAATAATAAAGATAATAGTACATCTATATCCACATTCAATTTTAGAACATTTTCAGTATCCTCCAAATAAACTCAGTGTCTGTTCATTGTTACCTTTCACCCCTATCCTCCCTATCCCTACACAGCCATCACACTATTTTCTTGTTCTATAGATTGGCCTATTCTAGGTCTTTCATATAGAATCATATGACATGTGGTTCTTGGTGACTGACTTCTTTCACTTAGCATAATATTTTCAAGGTTTATCCATGTTGCAACATGGATTAATATCTCATTCTTTTTTTAAAAGATTTATTTATTTATTTGAAAGAGTAACACAGAGAGAGAGGAGAGGCAGAAAGAGAGAAAAGTCTTCCATCTGCTGATTCACTCCCCAATTGGCCACAACGGCTGGAGCTGCTCCAATCCAAAGCTAAGAGCCAGGAGCTTCTTCCAGGTCTCCCACACGGGTGTAGGGGCCCAAGGACTTGGATCATCTTCTTTTTTTTTTTAAAGCCTTTATTTAATGAATGCATTTTAATAGGTACAACTTTAGGAATATAGCAGTTCTTTCCCCCATACGCACCCTCCCGCCCCGACTCCCATCCCACTTCCTACTCCCTTTCCTATCCCCTTCTTCATTATGGTTCATTTTGTTTGATTTTATATACAGAGGACCAACTTTATGTTAAGTACAGATTTCAGCAGTTTGCACCCACACACACACAATATGTAGAATACAGTATGAGACAAGATTTGCAGTTGATTCTCATAGTACAGCTCATTAAGGACGGAGGTCCTACATGGGGAGTAAGTGCACAGTGACTTCTGTTGTTCCTTTAACAATTAACACTCTTATTTATGATGTCAGTTATCACCCGAGGTTCTAGCCATGGGCTGCCAAGGCTATGGAAGCCTTTTGTGACCATAGACTCCATCAGTATTTAGACACGGCCATAAGCAAAGTGGAAGTTCTCTCCTCCCTTCAGAGAAAAGTACATGACTTGGGCCATCTTCTCAGGCCATAGTAGAGAGCTGGATGGGAAGTGGAGCAGCCGGTACTCGAACCAGCGCCCATATGGGATGCCAGCATTACAGGCAATGTGTTTACCCACTAGACCACAGCACTGGCCCCTCTCATTCCTTTTTATGACTGACTAACCTATTGCATAGACTTGCCACGTTTTATCTATCTTGCAGGGGAGGGAAAAATTTTCTTCCACCCTTTCATGGCCAGCAGGCCTGGGAATTAAACTGACAAAAAGCAGATTAGAGAAAAGCACACACATTTATTCATTTTTAATCTTACATATGCAAGGACATCACAGAAAGAACTGGGTAGGGGCTGGCACTGTGGCATGATGGGTTAAAGCCCCGGCCTGTGGCACCTGCATCCCATATGGGTGCCGGTTTTGTGTCCTGACTTCCAATCCAGCTCTCTGCTATGGCCTGGGAAAGCAGTGGAAGATGGCCCAAGTTCTTGGGGACCTGCACCTGTGTGGGAGACCTGAAAGAAACTCCTGGCTCCTGGCTTCAAATTGGTGCAGCTCTGGCTGTTGCCATCATATGGGGAGTGAATTGGAGTGAACCGGCTGATGGAAGACCTCTTTCTCTGTCTGCCACTGCCTCTCTGTAACTCTGTCTTTCAAATAAATAAAATAAATCTTAAAAAAAAGTGAACACCCAAAGGAGTGGAAAGATTTTTTAGTTTATTTCCACCTTAATAGAGGAAAGGGAGGGAGGGGTTGGGGAAGAGGAGAGCAAATGAATTCCAGGAAGGATAAGGGGTCCTGGAGAGGAGAAGTGATGTTGGTGACAATGTCCGGCCAGGTGTGATGCCAACTCTGAGAAGCTATTCCAGCTGCTCCAGGGGAGGGGTTATGACACTTGAGTTCTTTTAGGAGATTCTGCTTTCAGGCAGAGAATTTCAGGAACTCAAACACTTTCAGTTCAAAATAATTCTTATACCAAATAATCGTATTTTGTGTGGCATATTCTAATCATATTCATATTAGTTGATCAGTTGATAGACATTTGGGTTGTTTCCTCATGAATAATGTTGCTACAAGCAAAGATTGTTTTTATTTTTATGGGGTGTATATCTAGGGGTAGAATCTAGGTCCTATGGTAACTCTATGTTTGACTTTTTGAGGAACTGTTAGACCATTTTCCAATTGGCTGCACCATTTTACATTTCTGCCAGCAACAGAGGAGGGTTCCAGTTTCTTCCACTGGTTAACTCCCCAAATGTCTACAAAGCTGGGATTGGGCCAGGTCAAAGCCAGGAGACTGGAACTCAGTCTGGGTTTCTCACATAAGTAACAGAACCAAAGAACTTGATCATCATCTGCTGCCTCCTAGGGTGTGTATCAGCAGGAAGCTGGGATTAGAAGCAGAGCCAGGACTCCAAGCACTCTGATATGAGATGTAGGGATCCCAAGCAGTGACTTTGCTGCTGCACAAAACTCCTGTCCTGTCCATCTTTTTTATTATAGCCACTGTAGTGGGTGGAACTTGATGTTGTAACTGTGTTTTTGATTTCTGTTTCTGACTTAAAGGATAGATTTTTGTATTATTCAGATATGGCAAGTTAAACAGATATAAAGATGGTTACCCTTCAAAAGATAGTTGTTACACTCACAGGATCTTGGGATCAAGAGGAGGGGAGCTTCATGCAGGGCGGGGGGGGGGGGCAGACATATAGTGAAGCACCAGGTCCAGTGGAGAGGCTGGGAGGAAAGAGTGGGATATGAGCAAGAGCCTTTATTGTAGTTTCTGTAGTAGGAAGCAGGCAAGGCAAGGTAAACAAGTTTAGAATTGGGTAGTTTGAATAATTTCGTCAAGGATGAGGAGTAGGGACTGTCCTTAGTTGTTTGGGACTGGACCCAGGGGGAGGTTAGGGCAGGGGAATAGTGGCCTGAAGTGTAAAAGCTCCATAAGGGAGGTGACTGGGTGTATAGGATCTGAATTGCTTGGGTGCATATGAAGGGTGTGCTCACAGGCAAGTTCTTTATTATTTCTAGGAACTAGCTAATCCTAGGACAGACAGAATCAGCAAGGCTCCAAAATGCCAGAGCCTGGAGAACACGTGGCTAATACAATTTTCCTGATGATTAATGATGTTGAGCATCTTTTCATGTGCTTATTGGTCACCTGTATATTTCATCTGTAGAAATGTTTGTTTAGATCCTTTGCCTCTTTAACAATTGTGTTGTGTTTTTATTGTTGAGCTTCCATAGTTCTTTATATATTCTAGATTTATGTCTCTTATTTGTTATATGATTTGTAAAAAATATCTCCAATTTTGAAAGTTGTCTTTTCACTTGGTTGATGGTATCCTTTGAAGCACAAAAGGCAATGTTTAATAGGAAAATGATTTAACCAGGTTTACATTTTAGAAAGAATACTCTGCAGTTTTGAGAATTCTTTGTGGGTAAGACTGGAGAAATAAAATCAATTAGTAGGCAGTTGCAATGATCCAAGAAAAAGAGACTTGTGGCCCAGAATAGAGTAGTAGCACAATAACAGAAAGAAGTGGGGTTTAGTAGGAGCCAGAATTTTTGGAATTTAGAAATTGATTGCCTATTGATGAAGTAAAGGATTGTAATTGAGAAGAATCATGAATGAAAATACGGATATCCTTGGCTTAGGCAATTTCAGAACACATTGCGACTGAAATTAAATGAATGATGGAAATGGGTTTTCCTCATATATTTGGTACTTCATATATTTAAATCTGATGGTGATGGGACAGGCATTGTGGCATAGTGAGTTAAGCCACTGCTTGGGACAACCACATTCCATATCTGATTGCCTGAGACTGAGTCCTACCTCTGCTGCTATTCCAGCTTCCTGCTATTGTGCATCCTGGGAGGTGGCAGATGATGGCTCAAGTAC